CTAAGCCACCGCAATTGGGGTCTGATGCTATAAAAGAAACAGGCTTCAAAAATTTAGTTCAATTATCTTCCACTTCTGCCCTAGCAAAATTTTTTCGGCCAACTGTAATCTTGTAATTTAACCGGATTTAAGCGCAGTTCATTCCCACTTTTCTCGCTGCATGGCTCAGGTAATTCGTTATGAAATTCAAGGAAAAGAATGGGCAATGGGCAATTCTGTACGCAATTTTTGCAAAGACTGCAAAGTGAACTCCAAACAGGGTTGCAACGGCACACTCAGCTGCAGCTTTCGGCTTTGCAGCTGAATTAAACCACTGAAAACGTATTGTATTGACGGGATAGGAACAGGCACAACAAAAAAAAAAAAACACCCTGGGGCCGAGCTATCAAAACTCACTTAAGTAAACGTAGCAGTTCCAGTACACGTAGCGGCCGACTTCTCGCCTGTGATTAATGTTGGGTTTAGCTTGTAATTCCGTCAATGATTGGCGGACGGAGTAACAAACCTGTGATCATTATTTAATAGAACGGCCGCATGTTTGCATGCATGTTAGTTTAGTTAACATAGTTGCATGTTTATAGTTAAATTATTACTGTCTTTTCTTTTTAATTTGCGAGAAGTTGGTTAATCCGAGGTTTAATACAATTTTATTCCTATAATGACGTAATATTCTATTACTTTGTATTATTATTTGTTTTAAAGCCAGGAAGGAACATTATTGGACTCATTGAAGAAGAGCTAGAAAATCATTTAAAAAGTATTCTCGGGTACCAAACTTGCATAATGAAACAAAATTTGCCCAACTTTACCAAAATATTAACTTTACAACACTCTAATTTGTGTAAGATTCTTAGAAAAATTAAGCAAATAGCTGCAGGCAGCATTGGCTAATATCAATTTCCTTATCTATATTAAATCTAGGGTGTTAAGTCTTCACATTTAATTATGTGAGAACCACGTTGACATGAATAAAACTAATTGCTGTTGCTATGCTAACAACAGGAAAAGCATTTCAAACTCAAATTTCACATTTTACATAGAATATGGAATTCTCATTTAGTTTTATTCTCAAAATGACAAAAAAGTATGTATCCAAAATTAATTTATGTATACAAATTAAAAAAATCAAAATTCAATTTTATTCCAACGCTTAATTCCTGCTTTCGCACTTTCTTCTGATTCTGGAACTAGAGGTAAAATTTTTAGGTCCAAACAGAATCCTGACTCAGTAGATATCCTTTCCACGCGCCCCTACAGTCTCTTCAAACGCAACACGTAGGTTCTGACACCTGACATATCTTAGTATATGATTATAAGATTATTTTGAACAACTAACAACTCTTCCTTACAGTCATCATAAATAGGTCATACAGTCATCATAATTATCTCAGGTGCCAGGCCTAAACTTGAAAGAGAGTTTTATGACCTCTCTTCATAAATGCGTCCAACTTCCTCTGGAAATTATGGCGTTTCAACCCATATGTTCGTAGTAACAGCGACGCGGGGGTTGTTGCGCGAGTTATCTGGGATTTTGGGTAGTTGACCAAGAGCCTTGCTTGCTGTTTGGTAGTCTCTCCGACGAGTTCAAAATGACTTCGTTAGCTGTGCTGAGGAAAATTTATTTGTGAAGTTTTTGCGAAGTTTGTACATAAGTGCAGCGATTTATTTTATTCGTGAAGTTTTTGTGGAGTTTGTACATAAGTGAAGCGATTTATTTTATTCGTGAAGTTTTTGTGGAGTTTGTACATAAGTGCTGTGATTTATTTACCTGTAAAGTTTTAGCGGAAAAATTATTTGTTAAGTTTTAACGGAGGTTACTCATCTGTACTCATAAGTGCTGCACAAGTTGTATCATGAACTGCTTTACTTTATCATATTTCATTACCCTAAATATTAACGAGCTCGAATGTTTATTTCCTGACTTAATGCGCAGTTATTATTAAGTGTTAAAGTGTTAGCTCGAAGAATGCGTATATATAATGAGTCTTGTGCAAGCAGAACTGGCATACATATCGGGCCAAATACAATCCTTTATTCGTCTGCATTAATGCCCTGACCCATTACCTCGGCATGTATTTGCATGCATTATGAGTAATTTCATATACATTCGTAGGAGAAGATGGAGAAGTAAATTAAACATTCAGGAAAATTATTGAAGCGAGGAATGGCGTGAAATTAAACTTGATGGCTTACAATCTTGAATTATTGGATTTGATAGGACTGTTAACGAAATACCACGAGTAAGAGTAATGCTTAATAGAATGGCTAGAGCAGCATCATTAGAAATAATAATAAATCAGGCAGTAATACGGAGCAGTAGCGTCGCCACCAGTTAAACACCAGGGCCTATGATTAAAAAAAAAAAGTTAAGAGATCGTAAGTTCATCAGCCAATCATTGACGGCCTTTCAAGCCAAATCCACCAATCAAAGACAAGAAAATAGAGCGTAAGTACTTCGTTCACTTAGCGAATTTTGAACGTATGGCAGCAGGCTTGCGGCTTGCGGTTCATGCTGCGAAGAATGGGATAACCTGAATGAATGGATCATTAAAAATTTGGATCTTAAAACCACGAGAATTCCCATTTTTATCTAAATTTATCATAGCAAGAGAATAATGAAGTCGAGTTAGTCGCGATGTCGATTTTAATGCTGCAAAGTTATATTTTCTCTGGTTGTTTACAAAACCAACTTCTCCTGAAACCAGCTACCACCTTGTAATGTTTATTTTTTCAAAACAAAACTAAGCACAAAACAAAGCATCTATTCTCTAACGTGACTCTTAAAATGACAACATCAGTTGCAGACGCCATTAACATCATTTATCAGACTGAACGAAAGCTGTCATTTTGTTAGCTTGCATGCACGTGGACCAACACGCCTGAGGCTCGTAAATTAAACATCACTTTGCGACGACGCAGCTAAGCATGTCAGTCCGACTGCTTCATTTATAATTATGCAATAGAATGTACACATCATTTATCAGGCCTCAAGATTTATCGACTGCTGTCATTTTGTTAGCTTGCATGCACTTGGACCTACACGCCCAAGGCGTGCCAAAATTAAATTAAAAATTAAATTTAAAATCACTCTGTGACAACGCAGCTAAGCATGTCAGTCCGTTTGCTTCGCTTATAATTATACGATATAAGAAGTAAACAAATATAATTCACTACTCTTGCAGTGACAGAGAGCGCATTTTCTCGTCGACGAAAACGTGAAGTCATGGACGGACGGACGGACGGACATGGCGAGCACATTAGCGTTTTTTTCATAAATGAGAAAATGCGTTAAAAAGATCCTGGAATTCAATGTGCGTCGTATTATCGCCCTCGCAGACGCTTCGGCTGAGGCGCTCGTACTGTGCGACTAGAATGAAATATGTGGTGAGAGTTAGAGATTAAATTTCGTGTACAGTCACGGAAAAATCCTTGATATACTCGTATATCATGACGAGACAATATTTAAAGAATTGATATCACTTGTTTGCTTAAATCGCAAATTAACTAAGAATTAGAAATTGAAATATCCTATCCCCTTGAAATTGTGAATAGATAGTTTTTTTTGTGCTCCGTCTATTATTTTTAAATTTAATGTTTTAATTTCGTTTTGTGCTTTCAATGTATTAATTTGTGACTTCTGATTTGTGATTCAAGATTTCACGAACTGACGATGGAGCTGGTCTCCGAAACGTTTTCTATAAAGATATGAATTTTTGTGAACTATTCTTTGCTGTTAATTCTGAGACAATATTTGTTACATATAATTTTGTCAACAAACAAAATTTAGACAATGTTTATTAGTTATTGCCAGAAAAGTGATTTAGGTGAATTCATGCATCAGATGAGTATAAGATGTAATTATACTCGAAAGTGAGAGCAATGATGTTTTTCAAGAGCTTTAACGAGTCTTTGTCGCCCGACATGTGACCCATGCAAATGATGACAAATGATTACTCGTGAAAGCGGACAGATTTTTTTTATCAGAATGCAGCTTATTATTTGAATAAATTCAGTCAATTAATTCTTAATTCACCCATTGTCATCGCAGCTTCTGATAATGAATGAGGAATGTTAAAAAACTTACAGCTCTGCACGTGCAGTATTAACCACTTTACAAGTTAATACCGATGCATAATTTATTTATAGTATTTAATAATTTGCAACTTGTCGTTTTAGTAAAAGATGTGTAAGCACCGAGCACCGGAACTGTAATGTGACTAAAAATTAATTATATTCGAATCATTTAATTACTTGATTGCAATTATTTTTGACACAGTACATATCATTCGCCTTTATAGTAAAGTAATTAAATACCATTTGAATGAAAATTAAGTTTAAAATAGACAAAATAATTAATCATATTTGACACAGTACATATCGTTCGCTTTTATGGTAAAGCAATTAAATACCATTCGCAAATTTATATTTATAATGAATTGTCAAAGGTCTTTTAAGGGGATAATTATTGTTCTATATGCTATCATTTGCCGAATACTGATTTTACAATAGTATTGAATTTTTACAATCGAAATAAGTAGTTATAATCTATATTTTGTCCAAAGAAAAAGAATAATCGAAAAAAACATTACGTCATATGGCGGAACACAAGTTTTCAAAATTATATGAATAGACAGCATTCTGTCCTTCAGATTCATGCTTTGTACTCGTATATTTAGAGAGAACAAAATTGATGATGATTCTGCACGCATGTGTGCACAATCCATCATTAATAACAGCCTCTGAGTGCATGTCTTGACACCTGTACCAACAAATCCAAAGCCTATAATATAGATACAATGCATGAGGATCAAGCAGTGTTTGCCTGCCTACGCACAACCTGCCATCGCACCGCTGCTCCGACCTGCCATCGCACCGCTGCCATGACCTGCCATCGCACCGCTGCCACCACCTGCCATCGCACCGCTGCCACGATCTGCCAACGCACCGCTGCCACGACCTGCCATCGCACCGCTGCCACGACCTGCAATCGCACCGCTGCCACGACCTGCCATCGCACCGCTGCCACGACCTGCCATCGCACCGCTGCCACGCCCACAAAGAGAAGATGACGCGAGTTCTGATGCTTCTGATCGCCGCTGCCACTGCCTCGTTCGCGGCGTAAGAGCTTCGTTTGCAAGTCAATCGATGATGTGATATTGACGAGATTTTAGAACGTAATTATTAATTATTCAAATATGTCGCGATTATTTTGATTGTTTTATATTTGATTGAAATTAACGATTTGACTGAAGGACCGATTGAAGGAACAATGAAAGAATGATTTAACTTTTGAATAATAGATTACGATTTTGTAACTTCGATCTAGCGCGGACTTTATTTAATTTAAATTATATTATATTATTACTTCCAGAGTGTATGAACCGTCATTCCAGAGAGTCTGAACCTTGTTTATGGTAACGTCAAGTTTATAAGTTATTTTCCGATGGCCTGACGAAAAAATTCGGACGTGAAGAGCTGTATTCAGGGTCCTTGTTTTGAAATATAATATCGTATTTACGAAAATTTTCAAACGTTTTCATCATTTCAAAGATGGAGGCGCCTGCTAATTTCGTACACTAAAATGATTATTTTGCGATTTTTTACAGAGTTCAATCCCCTTGTAAAATAGCGTTCTGGGCGGGTACGCCGTTCAATATGACTGCCTACACGACTTGCTATCAGCAGCACCAGACGGAGTATGAGAAGTTTATAGGTGAGTGCAAAAAGAGTTATTTTGCTTCAATTTATTCTTATTGCTATCAACATAATTCCAAGCTTAAATTGGTCGATTTTGGGTCTCAGCTCAACAACAAATATTTTTACCTAATATGTGAGGCAAACCGCTTCGGCTGCGTAGGAGTTGGTTGACAACATATCAAAATTTTCATCTTGTGATTTATCTACTTTTTGTCAACGGATACCATAAACGCTTAATATTTTCATTGAGCTAATTTATTAGCATATTAAGCATTTTGAGCGAGCCTATACGATTAAAAACTCGATACCAGATTACGTCGACAGATGATCATTCAACAATTGTGTACTTTTCTGTAGGCGTTTGCAGCTTAGACTGAGGTATTCTGGAGACGTACAACAGGCAGCTTCATACACGATGAATTGATCGTGTAATGATCATACACGATGAATTGATCGTGTAATGATCATACACGATGAATTGATCGTGTAATGATCATACACGATGAATTGATCGCTTTAAATGACGACTTGATTGGCGTCAGTGGAGCTCCAGTTTTATTTTTCTAAATTTTAAACTTGCTGATGATTTGTGCTCGTCAGTTTTGCCTTGTAAGATCTTTTTCATATTCAGCCTATGATTTTTCATCATTGTGTAGATGGTAGTAATACCAAACCCATCGAATACATTTTTTCCCCAACAGCTTCATGCCCCGCCATAAACGCAACTTTGCCTACGGTGAACGATGCAGCAAGATGTGATCCAATTCTGTCAAATTTTTCTAAGTGTTTGTTGCAATCAGCCAAGCTCATGAGTATTTCAGTATACTGACGCACTAAGCTCATCGTGCAATTAATTGAGTATTTGTATAGACATGAACAATTTTGTCTATGCGCTAATTTAGGACCAAGCTTGCATTTTTGCAAGGAGTTCAATCCCGCTTTTTGACCGCTGAATTGAAATGTGTAGTGCTTTCATAAGCATTATAAGTGAACGTGCAATGAGTTATTATACATGTAGTTTAGTTTATAGAGCATTAATCCTTAAAATATAAGTTTTCTTGTTTGTACGAGGAATAAAAATATATCAAAATTTCTTGATCTAGGGAGCCCTCAATTTTGAGTCTCGCAAATTTCATCTCGCGAAATATTTATTCCTTGATTATTTCTCGACAGCTGAAACCCGACAACACATTTGATGATGTGGCGTACCAGAGCATTTATCTGAAGAACAAATGTAGCACTGATCCCAACTTCTCAAAGGTTTACTCGAAGTGCAAAACCGCCACCATAAAAATATTTGAACGTGAGTCCTAAAAAATGTCTTTATTCTATTAACAAACCCGCTCAACATGTTTTTTGTTTTAAATGTCAAAAACAATAATAAAATTACAGAAATTAGATATCACGAGAGATAATTTTAGCAGTGTAATATATCATGATTCATATAAATATATATATAACATGATATATACATATATATGTGCGATTGATGACCAGAGAATTAGTTGATTTATATTATCAGGGAATGGAACTTTTCTTCAGATGACGGTAGAGCAAAAGGCAAATTTCAGGAAGTAGTCTTTCTTTATTAACGACGTTTCGAATGCAACAAACATTCATTTTCAAGTTAGAAGAGGCATTAAATATTGACATTTTGGTGGAAATAAGTACATAATATAAGTAAATAGGATACACAGTAAAATTAATCAATGCAAAGTATTTAGCTGAAATTAAGTCATTTGCATTTATCTAGACAGCAAATTTAGAATGGCGCAGAGATGAAATTTGATTTACGTAAACCTCCACCATGTTGATAATATCATCAATAGATTAGATGATTGTAATATTTTTGATGACCTAAGCTCAGAAATCGACGTTACCAGTTGCATCACCTTCAGTGTACAGATAGGTCCTATCCGTTACGCTCGCCAGAAGTCCAGATGGGAGTTGTACAATCGCTCCAATTGGCTATTCAAGGAATACATATGATGAAGCAGGATATTAAATTAAGACAGGATATTTACGGCGGCTGAAAGCAGTATATTTACAACGCGGATAAGTATTAATTAGTATGGTTTTTGGAAAAATTACAAGTCTTTGACATTAGAATGCTAGAGAGAGCTAAAGCTGAGAATGAGAACACTCAAACAATCTTAAACATTACAAGATTCTCTTACTGACGCATAACACAACTTACCCTCAAGCCTCAAATCAGGTCCCCAGTACGTCGGTTAGGTCCTAGCAAATTTTACTGGCAGCTAGCAAAATGTGGACTCATGCCGTAGGCTAGAGAGCATAGCAGTCTACCCAGCAGGTATCTAACGTTGAAACAACGTTAAAGCAACGTGTATACATATATATATCTTCTTGATTTTAGATTGAAATGTTGATCAAGCAAGATCAAACGTTAAATCAATGTCGAAATGTGACCACTACTCGAAGAAACGTACAACAACTTAATTTCAACGTTGAAGCAATGTCGATCTTGGCACATTCAATTTCAATATGTTTTCCAGCGTTGAACCAATGTTCTCGCACCAATATTGAATGATATATGGATGGATATGTGACTATTTAGTCAGCCCATATTTTCTAAAACGAAATTGTTTTTTTATCTTGTTACCTTGAATGTTGGGTGCACATAATTTTAGGACACATTAATATTGCTAATCTTATATACGGTGTTACATAACCTAAATTAATGGGTTTACATGCATTCCGGATCATTGCCTTGAAAAAGGTCTATAAATTTTTTCCAAAATTATTTGAATTACATCATCGTTTTGATGTTGCTTTTGGTGAACCTTATTGATTTCAACAATCTCTTCCTTCATTGCAAGCCTACTTATCAGCCTCAATACAAGTTGATAAAGAACGCTCTCTATAAGCGATGTAAAAAATCTTAAATTTTTAATTTATTTTCCAAAGGCAATAGTAATATCGATGAATATCTTGGAAACGTTCCTAAGAGACGTCAACAGAAATGTGCAATGGAATATTTTAACAACACTGCGTCGGTATCTGATCTCAGTGACATGTATCCATGTAAAATTTGTTCATTTTTGATGATATTGATACGGAAAAGAATCAAATCCTGTTGATTTTTACACCCTAGTATGACGCAGAATTAGATTGAAATGATTAGATTGATGCTTGCTGGGTAGGCACACATGTGCCTGGGTCACGCGGGATCACAATAAATGCTTCGTTTTGAAGATTGAAGAGGAAGATCTAAAAGCTCATTTTGTGATTTTAGATATTGTAATCCCGCGTGACCACGCTATGGACGTCGCCCCTTCGCTAACGTCGTAGCCTTTTGGACAGGTATTAGGCTATGCCACATTTAACTAGGCTGTTAACTAGAAAATATTAGATGCGAGGTGCCGCCGGCGGCGCCCTCCAAATCCTGGGCTCATCAACCGAATCCATCAACCGAATCCTGGGTTCATCGTACCTTCGTACGATGTCAGTCGAAGCCATGCCTCCAGTGCTCTGACTGGGCATAGCGCATACTCTCCGAAGCTTTATCGTATAGGGCAGAAATAATATTTGGTGTCGTCCTGTAGCGGGCCGGATATTAGTCTCGTATTGTGCACTAGGCTTCGAGGCTCCGCACTCCTCGAATGACGACTGCAGAGAAAAATGTGCTAACCGAACTGTCATCGGATGAATGATCAAGGAATAGTACCATTTGAATACCGACCCAAGATATATGAGCTCGAAGACGTCATCGTAAACAACGCTCTCGAAACTTTTATAAGCTTTAGGTGATTATTTCATTCAATTTAGGAAGATGGGACGGGGTGGGAGCATTCCCCCCGGAGCAAACATAGGAAAAATATGAGAACAAGTACAGGTAGCCTATCATCTGGGACTTCTGATTCAGAGGCAGAGAGTGAGACTGAAACTCCCGTTTCAGATCGAGTCTGTACCAATGACAGGTAAGCTAGGAAATAGTGCAGCAACTATGCTTCATAGTGAAATGTTAGATTAATGCAAGCATGTACGAAAATAAGCACAAAGAAGATGACCTGTTTCCGTGGCTTGCTCATGTTGAGCGAAGGGGAAGAAGTGCCACACTGTGATAAAAAAGAAAGAGTGTCAATGTAATCAAACACGGGAAAAGAAAAGTGTCAAAATGTTCCAAACAGAGTGAAAAAATATAACGTGTTCAATTTGGCTAATTATCGTCAAGCCAGATAAATGCACGGTACAGAAAATAATTTTTTATTATTTTTTCTAACCAATGTTTCTGACAATAGTTTCATTAATTTTGGAGGTATTGATCTGTTTTCGAACAAGAGAATTTCTGGTATATTTCTGGTATTTTGAGCTAGGCCATCTGGTATTCTCGGCAAGAAAAAACCTGGCAACACTGCAGTGTCGCCGACGGTAGATAAACGTGTATAGATGGTACGATGAGGTCCGCTGTTGATGACGAACGCAATCGTATTCTAGAAGGCAGATCCGACACGCGCTGCAGACCTTCCGTGAGATAAGGAGGCTCCAGACCGTGAAGGCATCGGAACGTCAGAACAGCGACCTTGAACTACGTGCGCTGCTGAATGCGCAGCCAGTGAAGATCGCGCAATATCAGCGTCACATGGTCGAATTTTAGTTTATTGCGCATGATTCGAGCAGCAGCGTTCATTACGGATTGCAATTTATTAAGAACCGTGGTCGGAAGTCCATAAAGGGTTGCATTGCCAAAGTCCAATCAGTCAGAGGTGGGCAGTAGCGCGCTACATGTAGCGGCCGCTACTAGCGGCCGCTGCATTTTCAGTAGCGGTAGCTGTAGCAGCGCTACATATTTAAGTAGCGATACGCGATTTTGCCGCTACAGCATTACCGCTACATTTATTGATAAAGCCTTTAAATTTTACTTAATAGTATTAAATATTATTTAAAAACCAGCATGATACATACATAATATAAATTACAGAAAGCGGTGGTGACTTTGGCAATGTGACTGTTCATCGAAAGTTCCGAGTCCAGCAGAATGCCCAGGTTGCGAACTGCGGACGCAGGCATGACGAACTAAAAGCTGACGTACGATACTACAGCTCGCACTGTAAACAGCGTACAAAGGACTGCGTCCGATAAGCCAGCTCGTGAGGTGAACTGCATGGAACCTGCCGTACGCCATCAGACCGCAGATCTAGTACGATCGCGAAAAATTTATTGCATTTCGGAACTTTTAGCTCGCAGCATCTGAACTTGGGTTTTAAATATGGAGTATGGATCCAAATCAATCGTGGATTGACGATTGATTTTGGAACCAAACTTTACTATCGTTTGATCGTAGGCTGATGCGATGGAAAGGATGAATCCGTACGGGTTTGACGCGGGTTTCATTGCACAATGCTCTGTCCAAGTGGTGCAGAATTTTTCGCGCCGTGGCAGGCGATGCTGGGCCATACTTCGGCGAGTTGTTTTCCTGTGAGCTGATTGGCCTACTTCGATGTATGTGATCTGTCTTGTGGCTTGCGACTGATAATGTGATAGTTCCGAAGTGTTGGAGGCTGCGTTATTTAGGGATTGGACAACTGTGCGAGTCTGTGTCACACCCCAACCCCAAAGAAACCCCACTCACCTACAAACCCATCTAATCATGCGCAAGGCGCTTTTTCATCTCCCAATCTCATTTCCATTGCTCCTTCCACTTTCTGGTTACTCTGTGCCACCTCTTGTTCTCTTCCACACTGCAACAACAACTGTATCACTTTAGTGGACCTCATAATTTGTCCGTGTTATTGCGGATTTACCAAGTTTTTTGGGGTTTATTCAAATGTGTCTGTTGCAACTAATTAATGATGATGACGTAATGGAGGTGCCATGATATGACCGAAGTCGCCGGATAAAGGGCCAAGAGAAGTGCAACCGTAGTGGGCATATGTTTATTACGAACTGAACAACATTGTAAAATTGGTTACCAAAATGACTATTCCTATTGCCATACAGGTAAGCTAAACGCTAGTTAGAGGAATACCACATGCCAAAAATTACCTCCTCCAGGGTCACTCAAAGACGTCGCTAGGTTTTAAGGACAGAGGGAGGGCAAAAAATATTTTTCGGGTTTCGGTAGCCCAATAAAAATAAGTCTAATGACGCACTGGTCACTGGACTTCACACAGGGCGCTTTTCGCACCTGGACACAGCCATTATTATTGTCTCGTGCTCTCGAAATGCCAACCGTACGAAAATGTCAACCGTATCGTTCCGGAAGTTATTAAGACTATTTCAACTAACCACAGAATCTTGCAGTGTTTTATACGATTTAAAAAATATAACTCAGTACTCACTGCAGTGAATGACAGAGAGCGCATTTTCTAGTCGACGAAAACGTGAAGTCACGGACGGACATGACGAGCGAGTCACGGAAGGACATGACGAGCATAATAGCGCCTTTTTTCTTAAATGAGAAAATGCGCTAAAAATGATTATACACGTAACCCAAGCTTTTTCTGTCACTGAATAGTGGTTAGATTAATTTAAATTTTTTCACGTTTCCCAGCCTAAGCATTTTTCAGGGTATTAGGTACCAAGAAACTTTAGTTTCGCCCTTCCTAATCTTGGAGCAAGGTTGCCAGATGGGCCTTTTTCCGGCCAAATACTACTATTTGAACCTTTTTCTCCTATTGCTTTTTGACCGGCTTATTTGTACGAAGGCCTTAAAGTTATTGTATTTCTCAATGGATACAAAGTAGATTGAGTATCTCTATAAAAGATAATAAATAGAATTCTTGCAACGCAAGCTACAGATTTACTATTAAATATTAAATGAGAGACTCGTTTTGAAGCTTATTCAGCCGTTTTCTCTCGCCACCATCTGACCAGCCTGACGGAGGCAGGACTCAGGGAGTGGGACTTGCAAGTTAGCGTCTTAGCGATGCATAACGCCACCAGACATGGAAGTGAGAGGTTGGTTGTTGGTCTCGGTCTGCGCATCTATTTTCCTTGCCGTAGCAGGGGACTCCAGGGTAAGCATTAAATAATATTCATTACCGATTAATATCATGAAGGCTGACATTTTTAACCTACTTCTCATTTTTTTCCTTACCATAGAAGTACTACGTTTAAAATAATTCCAATTAAACGAACCTTACTGTGCTGTTTGAGAATCTTGAATTAGAACCTAATAAATTGAACCACCAAGAAATGCTACATCTGCTTATACGGCGCTTCAAATCAGCATGCAATAGGCCCACATCACGCTAAGAAATATGATAACTTTTTAACAAATTCATTTGTATACTACCCTGGTTAGCCGATATTCCTTAAAAGCTTTGTAGTTAGTGTTCTTGTTATGTTACGTTTGAATAACATATCGAAGGCATATAGACACATGATTGCTCTCTGTAAGTAATATAATCATGAGGGCTGCTAATACGGTTGATCATTTTGCCGGTTCATTTACTTCTAACGTTCTATTAGCGGATAGTGTTCTCTTATTACAGTCGTTCTTTTACTAGCAGTCTGCTGGACGGCACCTTTAGTCGTGTTTCATCCATTAAACAGCGTAGTGGTGTATTCTATCAATGTTATTCATCGTTCCAACTGTGAGCGCCTCTGATCAAATCGCAGTACTATTAATCACTCGTCCTTTAGTCTCCTTATTATATTCTTTACCAACATTCACTACGGCCGGTACATTCCCAAATCATGAATGTTCGCAGACTTGTCACCCGACTTAAATTCCACTCGCAGTTTATCTTCAAGGCATTCGACTAACTAAGCAAGCCATTGGCTTTTCAACATCATGACCTGCAGTTGTGAATATGCGTGTCATACAAGACTCATACTTTCATGTTCTACGCAGTGCATTGGTAGTTAGAGTTGAGTTATTTTTCATATGGGCGGGTACAATGCGAGCCTGTGTGCAAAAAAACTCTCATTTCTAAATGTGTTATATGTACAGTATGGGGTATAAAATTCCTGTCTTGAGGTTATCGCTCGGAATTATTTTTAATAAGTGAATAATGCACTTCTGATGTTCAAAAAAAATAGCGTAGGATCTGTCCATTTGGATAATTTGTTTCTATTGCTCAATGGGTCGCATGATACCTACCTGAATCACACTATGCGAAGATGAAAGTCGATTTCACTTTCAGCCCCAGCGAGTTTTTGGGCGACTCAGGTTGAATTTTTTTTTTATCTTGCACATAATTAGTTAGGTCGCCCACTAACGTTCGTTACAGAAGATTTCTTAAGAATTATTTTATTAAATTGGTTTATCTGATCGACTCCTTCAAGGTTAAATGTACCAAAAACTCAACTAATGTTTGGCCTGGTGCGAATTTCAATGTCAAACAAATATCACATCATGAAGAATAAGTCAACGATATAAAATGTTAATGTTGGGGAAAATTTGTTTAGTTTGTAAAACCATTTCATTAATATGACGTTTTTTACGAAAAATCTTCTCGGGGCGGTTACTGTACTATAGGTGGTTCTTTGTGATAATTGTGTATGAAATTTAATACGACAGTTTGTCATGCTTTGCTCAAAGGTGCTAAACATTCGGGGACGGAGTGTCTCTTGCAGCGTTCAATTTAATGAATGCCTGATTGTGTTACTGGCACTTGAACGAAAAACTTTACATTTACAAGTCTATAATTACGTGCAAATTTATTTGCAAACTGTGACGATATCTTGAAAACGGAAAGTAAAAATCAACCATCTAAAACGTTGACTTTTTTCGTTCTGCTGCTTGCACACGTCGACAATTTACGCTTTTGTTTACGATAAGGAATGTCAATCTACAATATGCAAAAAATTCACCCGTTCCAACTGCCATGCAAAAACATTACTAGGGCGTCCTGTGGCGACACGCGAGACTTAGGCCAGCACTGCGCTCTCAGTATCAGCACGCTAAAATTTTTATTATGATAACATATAAAAATTATTTACCAAGCTCCCATGAAGAGCGCAGTTCAAATATAGCAAGTGTTCTTCAAAACTGTAAACATCCTGTCGCACTATTCTGAGTACTGATTTTGTAAAGCATCACGTAAAATCATTCCTAATATAATAAAAATTATATCTTGAAACCTGCAAGAATTATTTTATTTTTGTTTGACTACCGAATATAATTTTGTTTGACATTCCTAATATAATAATAATTATATCGCAAAACCTGCGAGAATTATTTTATTTTTGTTTGATCACTGAATATAATTTAAACCGAGTTGCCCTATATTTTTGTTATTTAGTATTATGTGCTATTCCTCTTTCATAATCAGGCTTGCATTAAACATACCATACATATAGGTAAGATAGAAGGTCAATAAATTGCAAGTGGCTAAACTAGAAAGAAACTACGATCGAGCACAAGACACACGATTTGTGAAGATGGATGGAATATTTTCAAAAAGTAGGTTTCTCAACATTCATAAATATTTTCATAAATGTCTTGCTATGAACGCGTTCTCTGTAGTACATATACCACAAATGTTCATGCCCATCATATCGCCATCTAATTAATCCACCAAAATGGTAGAATAACTTCTTGACTAATCTTGATTATTAATGAATTCACGCAGCAGAAAATTCCTTAGCTTGTTCACTTTTTATTCACGGAAACTCCATTCGCCTGTTCACTTGTTATTCACGGTAGATTCCTTCGCTTGTTAACTTGTTATTCACGGAATATTCCTTCGCTTGTTCACTTGTTATTCACGGAAGTTTTCTTCACTTGTTCACTTGTTATTCACGGAAGATTCTTTCGCTTGTTCACTTGTTATTCACGGAAGGTTCCTTCGCTTGTTCACTTGTTATTCACGGAAGAGAGCCATACGATGTTATAACTGGAATAATGTCTCAGTCGTACAGTTCATTCGTAAGATATATTGTGAGCCATACGATGTTATAACTGGAATAATGCCTCAGTCGTGCAGTTCATTCGTAAGATATATTGTGAGCCATACGATGTTATAACTGGAATAATGCCTCAGGCGTACAGTTCATTCGTAAGATATATTGTGAGCCATACGATGTTATAACTGGAATAATGCCTCAGGCGTACAGTTCATTGGTAAGCAAGTTTTAGTTTTTTCTTCAGGTTTAGGGAATAGAAATACTCTGAGGAACCATTTACTTACTGCTCGCCTCAAGTATAACTCGTGGCGAGCAGAATGCCACTACGATCCTACGGGTTCCCGAGATTGAATTCGCGAAAAGGTGGTTAAATTAATGTGGTAAAAAATTGCACCCAGCTCATTTTACAGCGCTGGACATTCACCGAGTCTGAGACTAAGTAATGATACAGAATCATTTTGTTTCAGACAAACATCATTCTGACATCATTTTAATTTCGAAAATTTTTCTACGACTCGAGAAAATAATTTGATGCATAACTAATCTAAACTGAATTTGGGGCGGCGTTCAATGCGGTCGATTAGTAGTTTATATTTATTTCAATTGCCAGGCTCTATATAGAGATCGAAAATTTTCCAGTTCATTATCAAATAAATAAAAACATTCCTGGACCATATCACTTCTCGCCAGTTAGTCTCCATATTATTACAAAGTACAAACTATTGCCTATAGGTGTAACATGTTTTTAAACACATTAAAATCAGATGTTTCTATCAAATTTATAATGATATTCTATCGCTTGTAGAAAAGGACTAGTTTCTTATCGTCATTTGACTGTTGCTTCGTATCAATGACGACGTTATTGGCAGGGCAAGTAATCCTGTATATCGTAATAAAGAATAATTCGGTACAATGCCCATCGGAATTAGATATGGCTGACCAATTTAAATTTACTTCTCAGGTAGAATTTGAACTAGTCATCAATCGTAAATATTCTTGCAAACAACAATCATCATAACTCGTGTTTGGATATGAAAACAAAGTATGAGCAACTATGGAGCAGGAACCTTCACCTCTTGTCATGAAAACCCATCGCCATATAATTACCAATACGCATTTTTTGTTTTAAATGTTAGCATTTTCAAGTCGGTTATTACCTAATGGTTATGATCTGTGGAATTTATATATTTGTTTTGAGGAATTGACGAGTTCGTGAATAGCTCATTATAGTAAGGATAGCGGTTATGATAGAATTTTCGGAACGCTATTTGCATTCAATGTGAATTAGTTACCGCTCAAAAGTCTGAAAATAATTTGTTACAATTATTTAACCTTTATGGCAATAATAATTCATTTACTGTTCTCTGCACCGGGGAAAGTTTGCAGTTCCATCGAAAAATGGTATTTTGAAGTTAAATAATCAATTTTAGTGGCAAATTTCTGTTACTTATTTTTTTTAACTGACTTTACGTTATATTAATTGATATGAAACTATTCTCCTGTGTATCTTCGCTTTAAGAATGTTTTAGCCTTCCTCAAGGCTGATATATTTTTGAGGGGCAAATGCCCTCACTTTTATGAGGCGTTGTATAAGATTTAATAACATTGGGCCTGGGCCTCGTCCTCCCAGCTTGTGCTAACTCATGAAATGGGTGGCCGGACACCTCATTTGTGTGCCGGAAAAATTGGACACCTCATGACCTTGTGCCGGACACCTCAACATTCGAGCCATTGCATCACTATTGCAATTCAGCATTGGGACATTTCATTATTAAAGCAATTAACCATATAAACTTAAGTACATATAGATTAGGTTTAGCTGAATTTGTTATGAATGAAATGTCCCGATGATGAATTGCTAGAGTGATTAAATGTCTCGCATGATGAGGTGTCTAGGAATGGATGGGATGAAGTCTATGCATCCAGCGACACTTATTAGCCATTAAAATATATGATATAATAATAAAGGTTTCAGCGTTGATTAGGCCGAAGATCTGTCACCGATTCTTAACATCGTGAAACATTCACAGCGTGTTGCGGGTCTCGAACACGCAACTCGATCACTGCTTCAGATTCTGTGCTTACTCGCACGGCCACCGCGCCGATTCTGACCGGATCTGTCTCAGGTAGCTGGGATCGAACCCTGATACTCTGATACCCTGATACCATGATACCCTGATACCCTGATACCCTAAACCCTGATACCCTGATGCCCTGATGCCCTGATACCCTGATACCCTGATACCCAGATACCCTGATACCCTAAACCCTGATACCATGATACCCTGATACCCTGATACTCTGATACCCTGATACCCTAAACCCTGATACCATGATACCCTGATACCCTGATACCCTGATACCCTGATGCCCTGATACCCTGATACCCTTATACTCTGATACCCTGATACCCTAAATTCTGATACCCTGATGCCCTGATACCTTGATACCCTGATGCCCTGATACCTTGATACCCTGATACCCTGTTACCTTGATCTTGACAAAATTCAGAGCTATTCTGAGCACCACGGATGTATTTCCATCGAATCATAGATTTAGCATCACTATATATAGTTGCTCTGCATCTCTTTGTTATCTACGTGGCATGAAACATGCTTCTGAAAATTCAAAACAAGACACGGAAAAGTTTGGCGCAGCTTGTAGACTATGACCCTGTGTTGCTGTAACGTGCAGAGTTCAGTGGCCGTACTATCTTAAATAATTATGAATTTGTTACTCCGTTAGCTAATCGCTGTTGGTTTTTTAAGCTAAACCCACCAATCACAGACGAGACATCTGTCGCTATGCGTACTTAGGCTGTTACGTGTACTTAAGTTACGAGAGTAAAGCCCCGGTAACTCTTCATTCGATAGATCGTTCGATCACTACGTCAGGATATCGACGTAAGTAGGACCATGGTTGAATTGATACATACGTATTAATTCAACCATGAGTAGGACATCGGTGTTACCTTCACGCATTTAATGTTGTTGCACACGCCGAAATAATTGATATGGCAATTCCATCGTTTGTATTCGGTAGATTAATTTACACTAATTTTGTGATTAGTTACCCCATATGATCCATTATGCAGAAGATTCTCTCAAAACAGTCTAATTTTAAATGTTTTCACAACACTTCTCTTTAACTTCATTTCTTGTTTGTTTGTTTGTTTGTTTGTTTGTCTGTCTGCTACAAATCTTATAATCGATATTTAACACACTTCTAATTCGGAGACAATGTATGAATCAGTTGACAGAAAAAAGAATTGTAATAATTTAAATAAAAAAATTTAATATTGTAAAAATTAAAAAAAAAATTGTATGCAACAAATCTTATAATCGATATTTAACACTCTTCTACCTGTCCAATCGTTCTGAAATTTTCCGCACTTGCGTGAGGTCAGAGACAATGCATAAAGTCATTGGCAGAATTACTAATTTTGAAAATTAAAATTTTTTATATATTAATAAAATTGTAAATTAATTTCCTTAAATAATAAAATTTTAATCAAAATTAATTTTTCAAATTAACATACAACATTTTGTACATTACAAAATTATAAATAATTTTTTTAATATCCGAAAATAAAATTAGAAATTCATTGTACATGTGTAACATCGGAGACACTGGATTCTTTACAAGTGTTGCCTTTAAAAAGTAATTTTTAAACGCATATTATTCAAGCTTAGTATACATTTTGTTTGTGATGGACGTTTGAGAAATGTATATTATGTATTTATTACTCGGAAACAACAGTTCAATTTGCTTGTATTATCCTATTGGTCGCCTTACGACCGGTGAACTTGAACTGCCACTGCCGCGTCTACCGCGTTACTAGATGACAGCGTTGAGCGTGTCAGTGAGAGCTTCATAGAACGTTCACTTTCATTTCCCGTCAATTATTAACATTCGAATTTATTTCGCCTAATAAGTTTTGCAATGAATGATGACATAACCATACATAAATAATTTCGGAATTTAAACTTGAGATCAGAAAAATTATCCCATGGGCCATGCAGTCTCTTAAGTCGGTCATGTTGTGTTCATGTTGCGGTGTTGCACTGCCGCCCCATGTAATGGTTACAGGCTTTTTAAGAACATTATTTTAAATAAAATATATTTTCTTGGAGTCGAAGAGCCGAACGTTCTCCACTAATTATATAAAGTTGCATGTATTAATGTGTAATATAATTTGTAATGTTATGTGTAATATCTAAAATAAAAAGCATAAAATCATGTATTGATGTAGAACACCTTAATTGATGTTTCGGACGTAGCAGTCCCAGGCCACGCTGGAGAGCCGCCTCTGATAAGTCACAAAATTTGCAACTTCATGTGTGCTCTCTGTAATTACACAAAATTTCCAGCTATTTTATCTACAAATAGAATGTGATTTACTTATCAAAAATCTTCGTTTTTTTTTACTCTCGTGTAAATTAAAGAAATTTCACTTAGCTGCACAAACCCATGCTGTATCAACACTATTCTAATTTAAGTCTTTTAAAATGTTTCGATTAAGCGTTTTAATCAAATCTAAATTTAAATGTTTTAAATGTAATTTAAATGTATTGACCGATATTTTCGTTTGTGTTCGACAGAATCATGCTAAGGTCGAGGTGACGGTTTACTTCGAGACTCTGTGTCCCGACTCAAAGATGTTTTTCCGCAGTCAGCTTCTGCCCACCTACACGGACCTCAAAGACATCCTTGACGTCAATTTTGTGCCCTTCGGAAAAGCACTGGTGAGTTACTACTACGTCTTCCACTTTATTAGTATTTTTTCAACCATCTAAATAGAAAAAAGTCTAATATGATACAAAAATTTAATAATTATATTCTGCCATTAAAAATTTTACGTTCTTGGCATCGAAATATACGTGAGGAAAAAATAATATGTTTTGCAACGATCTAAAGTCAACATTGAATTGTTCATTATATTGTTCCCTACTTTGAATTAGTATTGTTTTATGAAGTTTTTGCTGTTTGCGATAGAAGCTAATGAAGAGTAAACAAATCCTTTACAGTCGTGGAACCAGTACGTGCACTGCGTGATTAACTCAGCACTTCTTCTCGAGAACATTGAGCTAATTGTGATCACAGACGAGCCAAACTTCCTGCTCGAGAAATCGAATTATTTCATTCACAATAATTTAACGCACAGAAGCAGCCTATAAATCACGTCGCTTGCCGATGGGAACTATTTTCTGCCTCATGACCGAGTCTCGAGAAATAAAAGATCAGCTGCTGTCTGGTAAATTACACATACTGTACCACAACCTGCGTCTATTGTGTAGGACGGACCATCAAAGAAAAACTTCGACATCCACGTAGGCTGTCGCCTTTTATTTCTATTCACCAATGGTAGAAAGTTTGGAAAATTATTCAATTTCATCCTAAGGTTCAAGTCTATAACCCTCGATGCCTAATTTTCTGCTCTGCTATTGGTAATTTTTATATTTTAACGGTTATTTAAACTATATTCTATTTTGCCTGTATTCATGTTGAATCAGTTAGGTAATAATAGTACGTTCTTCACACTTCGAGTATACGTGAGACGTTAATGAAACCTCCTAATTGATCCGTCCCAATTTACGATGCCAAATCACAACTAATTTTACGGGCGGTGATCACAGTCAAAATTTGGATAAATAGTAAAAATTGAAACTTCATCATTTGACTCGCGATGTTCGTAAACAAACATGCTTTGGAAAATTCATTAGTGTTATAACTAATTTGTAATTATTTTCAAATGAGGAACGAATAAATGTCATAATAATTCACAGGCCCGCCCTCGCCTCCGTGAGGGCCGCGTGTCGTTCGAGTTCCAGTGCCAGCACGGCCAGCGTGAGTGTCAGGGCAACCGCGTGATGAGCTGCGCGCAGAGCGTCTTGTCCAAGGAGGACCAAATGCGCCTCTTCTCCTGCATGATGGCCAAGAGAGATCCAGCAGCCGCTGGAAGAGAGGTTCGCTGCGAACTGGACACTTTTTAACCTAAATCGTATTTCGCTGTTCAAGAAAAGATACAACCCTAAATCGTACTTCGCCATTTCTTGGACACTTTTAAACCTAAATCTTATTTCGCTGTTCCTGGAAAAGATACAACCCTAAAGGCTAAATCGTACTTCGCCATTTCTAGAGAATATTCAAACCCGAATCGTAGTATGCTATTTATAGAGCAAATTCACACCTAACTCGTACTTAGCTATTTCTAGAGAAGATTGCGAACTGGACACTTTTTAACCTAAATCGTATTTCGCTGTTCCTAGAAAATATTCGACCCTAAATCGGATGTTATGGTTGAATATGGTTTACGCTATTTCTAGGGAAGATTCAAACCCGAATCCTACTATGCTATTTATAGAGCAGATTCACACCTAACTCGTACTTAACTATTTCTAAAGAAGATTCGGTCTTAAATCGTACTTCGCTGTTCCTAGATATGATTTGTGTGCCATGTAGCAACACTTCTAAAAAATATAGATAAGCCTTAACACAGGTATCACAATTCTCGTTTCATCGAACCGGATGTTGTTCCATGTGTCACATCCACCTATTAGCATCGAAGTTAATTTGTAAAATGTTTTTTAGAAATGTTAAGATGCCGTAATTGTTTTTAGAACCTAATGATATTGTATTCATCCAATATGAAATCTAAGTTTCAAAAAATGAGGACTTGGATTTAATTTCGCTATGATGTTTTTATGTAAATTGTTTAAATTGGAATAAAATGTCTATAAAATAGAAATCCCTAAATCTGAGAATAATAGTTTGATAATGAAATATTTTTTACGCGTTCAAAAATGTAACGTTCAGATTATAAAATTGAAACTAATGTGTTTTCATGTGGCCGTATATTTTTCAGGCTAAATTTTTTCTGATTTTCTACTAAAAATTAGATGGTCAGTTGTTACAATGCATAAGTGCTACTGATATTATTAATATTACTATCATTTGTTCAATTTATTACTAATAATATCATAATAAATCAGTATCATTGTATAATAATATCATTTGTTCAGGTACAATATAGCATTTTGCACACATCTCACTAAGAGTGATATGCTTGCAGTGCACGCAGGCGCTCGACATGGAGTGGGATCCCATAGAGCGATGCGCTGGGAGGAAGCTGGGGGCGGTCCTGCTCTACATGAACGGCCGCAAGACTGCCGTGCTGCGACCAAAGCTGAACTTTGTGCCCACCGTCACCATCAACGGGGTGAGGGTTCGAAACTACTGTATAGGCATCCGAGACTCAAATTAAATCAGGCCTGCATCTTCGATGGCACAAAAAAAAAACTTGAGCCTCAAAATCCCCTCTGTGTACATAAGAGAGGCAGATTAGATGCAACTTAATCCCCTACATCTCCATTACGCATCTGAGACGTAAATTAGACGCAGCTAAATCACTTACATCTTCTCTACGCATCCGGGGGGTAAATTAGACGCAACTAAATCCCCTACATCTTTTGTACGCATCCGAGGGGAAAATTAGACTTAACTAAATAATTATATCTTCGATGGCACCAGGTATTTAGAGCCTCTAAATTTTTGTCGTCGTGTTACAGAACAGACAGGGTTGGGTTTGTCTCATGACGCATTACACTATGTGGGGCACGTAAGTGATTGTTAATTGAGAGCGCATGCCATTAAATTTATTGTCCTTGTATGAGCAAAATCTCAGCATTATTTCGTGCTAAAAATCCCCTCAGGGGGGACTTTTGACGCGTGTCTGTGCGCGTCAAAAGTCCTATGGGATTTCGCGTTCCTAGGGGGATTGTTCCTGAGCGCCCCACCGCTGAGCTCGCGGTGTCTGACTGTAGGTCTCAGTTGTGGGGTTAAGTTATTATGTAGGTAGGATTCCTTGCATTTCCCTTCTCTGTCTCTCTCGTGCGGGCGGCCGACGTCCCGTGTAAGCGACCTCTTGTTCGAGTGTCTTCGTTTCTGTTGCTTTTCACCTGTCCCTCCTTGTCACTTCGTCTCTTTGAGATGCTAACGCTGCTTCCTTCATCGTGCTAAAAAATCTCGCATTACAATTTTATTCAATGACCCCTCTGAGGCAGATTAATCGCGCTTCGACGAACGACTATTGAGCCCCTAATGGCTTGGCGTATGTTGTTCTTCAAATGAGATAGGCTCCTTGATCAGTTATTGTAAACAATTCTTTTAAGATTTTTCTTATCGAGCATGTCCCCATAAAAAATCACACGGAGCCTAATCGGGGGATCGGGCCAGCCAAAAATCACCTCTCAAGGAGATGAGACGCGCTGAAAAATGTTGTCCATAATATGTGAACGCAGAAACGCCTCTAACTCTCTCTACATTTTCGGGCGTCGAGGCTGTCCGTTGACCTCCAAATTTATCTTGCATTTACACTTCCACTTGCCCTGAATGTGATCACCCACTAAACAATAGATTCCCGATCAGGAACCCGACTTGAAGGACGAATATGTAACCGAGTACGGAATGCTCGTTGACTAGCGATAATGAAACGGCTTCGAAAGCAAACTCTCGATGCACACTTGCCCAATGCATAGAGGCAACCGACAAGGCGGGACACAAAACTTCGTGACCTTGCCTTTCATGTGAAACCTATTGATGAATTCAAAAAATTAATTCATGACCTAGTCATACGCCTCACGTCACCCAATGCACTCACTAAAAATGACAAAATTCCAAGATGCCCCTAAAGTATACTAACAATATATCCTGCTTATAGCGATAGGCTTGTAATTATTTTTACGCAATAATTATCATGGGAAACTTACGGCAAACTTGGTTCATATTAATTTGGAAGATTCCTCGTCGGTCATGCCGAAATCGAATGTGCATTTGTTGAGTCAGTGATGTTTGACATTATCTGAAAATTGTGCATGGATTCTTACTAGATCTTTTTTTCCAGGAATATACAAGAGATAATCTACAAAATCGCTTGGAGTCATTAAAAGAAGCGGTGTGTGAGGCATACACCGGAGACCACCCCAAGTGTGTGAACTTCGTTTAGCGGACCAACACGTCGCGAGTGGAGATATTTTGCTTCAAAATACCAAGACTCTTCGCCGTCGTATTTATTCTGTTGTTTATCACACGATAACCCAGAGAGAACCTCAATTTAAAATTTTGATTTGTTTGAATTACGGAAATAGAAATTGCCATTTCATACTTAAGGTTTCGACAGGGATGGTAGAGCTATCCTATAGCTTTAGCAGTCATGTCTCGATATACATGCGCATCGCGAACACCGGGCATTAAACACTGTAGAGTTATATCGACAGTTCCAGGCTATTATAAACTAATTGAGCAGAGTTCATTATGAACGTTGGTCTCGATTCTCTCTTACGTAAATTTAAGCTACCAATAACCGATTCACTAACACTGTGGAAATCGTACTTGAACCCTACACAATAATGGTAGTTCATCTCACTTCTTTGAACTGCGATACTGTGCACAGAGCAGAAAATGTTCCCTCCTAAAATAATTGGAAATTTCTTGCCAAATATCCTAACAGGGAAGTATAAAAAGCTTAAGAATTAATTTAAAAAAAAAAACACATTGTCAACCGTTTCAACATTATTCATATGGTTGGGGCTGGTAAGTCGAGTTTCCTCAATAGACTAAAGATTGAAGTGAAAGCAGGCTACATGTTCATCCTTCTAGGCAAGATGAATTGCAACACTTCTGAAGAATGAGCTGCAATAAAGATATTAAGAAATATAGAATGATAAGATTTTTTCATTACCAGGATAGATCATCAACTTTTCCCTGCTGGTCACATTTTCCCGATTCGTACGAATATGTTTATGCCGTGAACCAGATATTAATATTTAATAACAAGTTTTTGAAAGAATGTAAGGATATTGGAGCTCACTTATAGCTAAGAAACGCTGTATTTTAAACGAAAACAACAGGTACAAATGTGATGAGTTGAAAGCTACGACTATACTAGAACAACCTGTAAATGAATCAGAAAATAGCTCAGAGCTGAACATCTCACGCTATTAGATGTTCAAAAAGAAACATTCCTCGTTTAAACAGAAAATTTTATAATGATTTTTTTTAAGCAACGATTCAATAATAAATACCGTAAAGGAGGTGTGACCGTTTCTACATTTAAGAAAAGAAAACCCCGAACTCAAAAAGTTCTTGAATTGTGTTGATGGCTCTTGAAGTACAATAAGATAACCTACAAATGCAATAAAGAGATACATTTTATATATTTACTATGTGACTATTTGTATCAGAAAAATTATAGCGCTAAAACTGGTTCGAATCACCCCGTTTTATGGTACAGGAACACGTACGTCAAAATGTTGTTATCGATAGAAATAAAAAAAAAATAGGAACATTTTTTTCAGCGACGTGAAATCATGTTAAAGTCATGCATGAAGCAGGAACAACTCGAGTCTGCTAAAAGTCAAAGATTTGTCAATACACCAGAACGCCAGAACGGAAAACTGCAGAAATTTTGCAGACAATAATCTAGATTTCCTTAGGAACAAGTTGAACAGAAACTACGAGACAGAAAATGCCTTAATAAACTTACGTCAATAAGACTACGAGCTGAAACAAGTCTGGTCCAACTGTCACGAAACTTGAACTAAAATTAAGCTTTCCTGCACTCAAGTTTGCTGAACATCAAAAGCTAGCAAAATACTTGATAGAAAACGTCACAAATGTCTAACACATTGAACAAAAATGAAGATGAGTAACTAAGTAATACTTCCAACGCAATCGATTCATACGATTCATCAAGGACTACAATTTGATCCTTTCGCTTACGGCGGAGAAGTGAAATAAAACGCTGGACATTTTCCCGTCTGTTAGTTGTGAAATTAATCTAACTATTGATAATTACAGCTGAGTCTTATTTGCAACGTTTTAATATGAATACAAGTGATTAACAGCAACGTAAAGCCTCAATTACGTAATCGAAGAAACTACTCCACTTTCTAAACAATACCTGAGAAACGAAATAGACAATATCAAAATAATGGAATAGTTTCAGAAGAAAACCAGACATCCAAAGCAGCTATTCATTCAACGCAAACATGACAAATGTCCTGCGGCAGTTGCTTTACTCCTCCTCGGGAGGACTACGCCTGCCCAGAACCTGCACGTCTCCTCGCTGCCAGTCCCCTTCAAGGATCAGATGCCTGACGAAGTCCTCATCGTCGTACTGCACGTCGTAACAAGTGCCGGACACTTCCATGCCGTCTTCACTCTCCTCGGGCACAGTACCGGGAGCAGACATGCCCAACACGGTGCCGGTACAGTGCACGCTCTGGCCGTCGATGTTCCACTTGTGCCTGATCATGCGGCCGATGATGTCAGGGATGGTCTGCTCCAGACGTCTCTTGCGACGTGGCCTTCCCGTCTCGCGGACCGCCTCTTCCACGTGGCTGTGGCACGGAGATCGAATCAACAAGTCGCAAAAAATAGCCGACAATATATCCTAATTTATATTAATAATAATAATAATACATTTCTCCTCTTATAACATTAAAATAAATTCACCGTCTTAAGAATCTAGCCTAATCGAGGTTCTAGACTTCAGTAAACTCGTATTCAAGCTGTCAGATTTGTTCATCAATTCAAATATTTACAAGAAATCTCATATTCAAAATTATAACGTACGAAACTTCCGAATATACTTTTACTGAAAACTTAATAAAACTTAAATTATTAATTAAAATTAATGAAAATTATGCTCACTGGAATGTCTCCATATCGTCATCATCATCGTCGTCGTCATCAGCTCCTGTAGGATGACAAGATAATATACAGTACACGGATCCTTTAAAAACACGTACTGATTACTTAGCTTCTAGCAGGTCAACTTGATGTTCCTCGGGATTAGCTCTATATATTCAAGGCACTATGCTTTAAACACACACAAATAAACTTTACAAATATATGCAAGATTTCAATAATTCAATTGTTTAATTTCCGATCAGTCGATACGATCGATTTGCTTAAATAGTAATAAGTGCTTGAAAATAAAAGGTAAACACTAATGGTGATGCGAGTTGAAGGAAACAGTAACAGCTTTCGTCTTCCTGTTGTATGCGTTGAATGACTATTTAAAGATAATAGGTTAATAGTAATAAAGTAATGGTGATGTAAGTTGAAGGAGTCAAGTACCAGCTTTCTTCTTCCTGTGGTAGGCGCGTCTGGGCTGCTGGTGGGGCTGGTCGCCCTCGCCGTGCAGGAGCGACGTGCGGTACACCACCAGCGGCTGCCAGTCCTCGCTGCGGCTGCTAGGCATTCCTCCGCTGATACGACGCTCTAAGTACGCTTGTCTGTTGGTGAACATATAACATTTCTTTAGTGTTACGGGTTAACATGTAACACCTCGAGTGTTAACTCACAAGACCTTGAGTGTCAACACTTACAACCTCTAATGTCACTGCCATCTAATACAAAAACTGAAGTGCGTCAAGCAATCACCACAACGAATGTTCGACAATATAACTAGCTACCTACATGCATGGGACGGCAGGCTTGATCTAGTTTGAGAGGCAGTAATTGCTAGTTAACAATTATTGAGAAGCAATAATTACAAAACATCTGTATTAAAACAACTCACACAACTTTCTTGTCTTGCTTGAGAAGCTTGTTCGTGAACTCTGCGAGGATCTCAAGGAAGGGCAAATTAGGAGGAGGAGCGGCAGGATCGGAGGGAGAGTCGGCGGGATGGACAGCGAAGAGGATCCCTTCTCTGTGCAGGGCGGTGATGGCTTCCCTGTTCTTCACGGCATCCAAGCCGAACGATAACGCGAAGCGCTTGGCCAACTCCTGCCATTGAAAAAAAATTGGTAACAGGATTAGTGGCAACGTGAAGAAATATTACGAGATAAATGGTTTAAAATTAATAAATATACGAATGTTATCTTCTAGAAAACCCTTAACTCTCGACAAGATATTCAACTCTAATGGCTTAGAGAGACGAGAGTTCCCAAAGATACGTACTAATAGAAGTTCCCAAATTATGCAGAAGGAAGTGATACTCGGCCCCAAGTGCTGCTCTATCATAAAAGGTTTATAAACAACTGAAGTATAAAGATGTTGTTAACCTACCTTTAAGCTGACGAAATCTGTGCTTTGCTTGTTTATTTTGGGCGAATCTTTGCTGAGTTCCTTGTAGATAATGGTGAGGGCTAGAGCCATCGTGCGGGCGCAGTTTACTTTGTTTATTTCACGCGTTTTGCCCAAAGTCGCCTTGATGATGTCGCCGTAGTCATCATAGTACTGCAAACAGAGTAACAAATAATAGACAGGTGCTAAAAAAACATATTTTCGCACTATCACTAGATTGAAAAACTATTCTAATTAATATTGCAGTATGTATTTGCAATATTAATATTAATATATTAATATAATAATATATTGCAATAGAATGATGAGTAGAAACGTAATTTCGAAGTTCATTCCGCGAGTCATCCGAAAATTTTTGCAGCGTGTTTTAGCAAATTTACTTGGAAGCAAGACTTGAAAGAGAGGATAGCGGCCTGGGCCTATACTTTCAAAAAAAGTTAAGAGATCGTAAGTTCATCAGGAAATCATTGACGGCCTTTCGAGCAAAATACACCAATAATAGACAAGGAAATAGAGCGTAAGTACTTACGTTCGCTTAGCGAGTTTTGAAAGTATGGCCCCTGGTAGTTGAATTACTTTATGTATAATAACTCACCCTGACGTAATGTTTGAAGACATCAGCGGCAACTTTAGTGGGTAGAACGTTGTAGACGACGAGTTTGCAGAAGGTAGCTAAGAAATTACGACGTTTGTGGAGCTCTTCGATCTTAGCATGATCGCTTTGCTGAGGGTCAGCTGAGCAGGAGATTAAAAGGGCGTTAAAAATAGGGCATTGTCTGGACTACAGTCTCCTACACTTGTTAGCAGCTGCTAAGCCACTGTATATTTTTGATACTACGACTTCAAGCAGAGTAAATATATTAACGAACATTAGTTATGAGAAAAATGCGCTCAAGTGCTGTATATGGAGGTTTTGATGACACTCCAAAGAAGCAAAATAAAACTGTTGTCCGAGTAAACATACAATAGTAAAAATGAATGTCTTTCGGTAGAGGTTTTTCATCAGATTTACTGTCTAGTTGAATTCCAAAGCCTCATAAGGCAGTCATGGAGAATTTTTGGAGTTTCAAGGCATACTCAAGTTTCAAGTTAAACAGTATTTTCATAGTTCACCGAACCAGCAGGCCCGTCTTGCGAGCTACAGTTATTCAGTAATGTTTTACATGAAGATAGTTGCCAGTATTCTGCTCAGCGAGCTGAGAGACTCTGAAAAAATGTATTCTATTTTGGCAAAAACAAAACTCAGTCTAATGCAAGGATTCAGACTTCCAAACAATAATATTAGATGCGGATCGATAAGTTCACAATCACTCACTAATATCGCCATCAATGATGTAAAATACTACGTAAATTGATTATCACTCACTATCATCGTCAATGCGGCATATCAATGAATTGACCACCAACACCATCGTCACTCATCATCACTCACCATCATCGCCAATGCTACATATTATCAGTAAGTTGACTATCACTCACCAACATCATCATCTATGAAGACATAGGACTGAATGAAGTCATTGAGCAGATGCTGGATGCTGCGGTCAGATTCGTACACAAGGGAGGCGAGACTGGGGCTTGTGTTGTGCAGCTGACTGCTGAACACGATCAGAAGATCGCATAATACGATGTACGACTGCGGATCACAATAACAATGAACAAGTCGTAAATGTTTTAATGGTATTGCCGGACAAATAGAATAAATTGACTCACTCAGCATAAATTTTCTATGGGTTCCAAATAACAGGTTTCTAATAAAGTTCATTTCTTTCAGAAGATAACAAAATTAATCGCTAGGGAATTTGAATGGAAATTGATTGATGAACATGAATCAAGTCTCAGCAAGTAAAACATATACACAAACATAAACAACTCGTGAGACTAGCATTGTCAGCTCAACAGCCGTACGATGCTTGAGCCTCCAATAAAGCTTTATGATATTCAAATCAATTTTTAGTGATAAACTACAATCGAAGTGAAAAAAATACACCAATCGCTGCACGTCTCTTTCATGCAAATTTAAAATATATATATATTTATCGTTGATCTCTCAGAAGCCAAATTCTTGTTCCTACGAAACCGTGAAGAAAACACAAAACAAAAATAAACATTTATTATCTTGCAGAAATCACGCACCTCTTCCTTGAGGACTTTGCTGTCCGAGTCAGCAAGGAGCTGCTTGGCCGAGTCAATGAAGGAGTTCAGGCGCTGCTGGAGGCACGCAACGGCCTCCTGATTGAGCGCCTTCTTCTCGACCTGGTCCTCGAGCGTGTGCAGCTCCCACATGATAGCGAAGAAAGAAGCCGAGATGCAATACATGGCGGCCTCTTCAGGCAATGCTTTGTCTCCGGCCACGGCGCGGGTAATGTTCACGGCAAGGCAGTCCCAGAGATTACAAACACCCATGTTGTGACACGAGTAAAAGATTGACACCTTCTTCACTGAAGAGTTCAAGGCAAAGATCTCGTCATCGTCGGGTGTTTCCTGGCCTTCAATGAGGTAGAAGTATTCAGAGTTGGCTTCCTTGTAAGTGTTAGCGAGCATGTCCAGTAATGAAGAGCGGGAAATGTCACAGCGCGAGTAAATTGCATAATCTTCGTTACAGAGAACTTCCAGGGTCTTGGCAGCTGTCTCTAGGACTTCCGTGTCGCTGTGCTTCTCGCCGACATCTTGGATCAACTTCAGAAGCTGATCTAAGTTCTGCACAAGAGTTATGACTGGCGATAGCATGGAATACTTAAAAAAATTGCACGTCCAACCAATAGAAAAAAACAACATTTCACTTAATGCGCAGATTAAGCAACAGCTATATAATCTTGGACGAGATTTTTGAAATAACAGGAGAAAGTTTAGGAGTATGACGAAGCTAACAGTCAAATGTCAATAAACACTTAAAAAACATAAATCACTCCTCATGCACAAGAAAAGTCGCATACCTTCTCCTGTCGGCTGGTGGTGTATATCTCCAAGTCGAAGTACTGAGGAATGAGCAATAAGTTGGCAACTTTTTCCTTGTCAGCCAAGAATTTGTTGAGCATCAAAGGAAGCGTAGGAATGAGGTGTTCCGTGAGCCTCGCTCTGTCGTCGTTCACCTGTTGTGAAAGGAAAAGTTTTTTAATGCACAAAGAAATTTGAAATTTTTTGTATAGAAATTCTGATAGGTAGATTATTCATTTCATGAAGACTGAACTAAATAATAAACTTTAGAAGGTGGGCATTGTTTCAGTTTATCTAAAAAATCACAGAACATCTAATAGACTAATGATATTATCTCTGAGAGTGTCCTCGCCGACTTGCTGATTGACAGCAACCGGATGATAGACAGATATCTAAACCATAATTTCTAACACTTCAACTGCTTCTTGAATCAGAATTCTTGTACTAAACCGTGAAACGCCATCGGTATATCGAGATTTTCGAGCATGCAAAAATCTCACACTGAATATCCTCTACGAAAGATTTGACAATCTGTCCGTTGAGCTGAACATGATAGCCCGAAAGTGCGCGAAAGTTACATGTGAAGCAGCACCTACACTCCTATTGATCGAAATTGTCCTCCCTGATAAATTTCTTTCAATAATTTTACATAAATCGTAAAAATGAAAAGCTCAACTAACCAAAAGTCATAAGAAAATTGAACTTGATACTAATAATCTGAACTTCAGATTCATTCAGGTCAATAAATCAGGTCCGATATTTGTTCAAGAATCTTTAATCCTCGAAGTTGACAATTGTCGGAAATATAGGCATCAAATGCTCAAAAATCTTAAAATCAAAGATAACACCCAGTTTAAAACAGGGATTTCTAGAAAGCAGAACAGAACAGGAATTGTACTGTACACAAATACGTTAAAAAAATGATCACAAGTAGTTTAAAAAATATATATTTATGCCCACTGAGTGCTTTAGGTTTAGGACACCAAATATACACATTAGATAAGCCAAAAGGCAAAAAAAATCCAGAAAAAAGAACATGCATTGGAAGTAAATATACCTGCTTGAGTTCCTTAGCACTCATGTTCATCTTCCTGTTGGAACCTCGGCCGACGGGAGGCTCGCCAGTGGCTGCTTGTTTGATGCAGCAAACCATGAGCTCGATCAGCGACGTCTCTTGCCTGTCATCAAGAGGCTCCTCCTCAGGGCCTGGTTCCTCCAGCAGCAGGTCCGTCATACACTCCCAGTCTTTCATCATCGGGTTGCTGTCGATCAGCGAGTCAACGAGGTATGCTCCGTGAGCGTGCAGCTGCACAGATCATAGCAAGACTTAGTGGCCACGCTCAATATCAATGATAGAAAATCAAGAGAAAATAAAAAATCATTTCATTTCTTAAAAACATGGACTTTTTACTCATTAAGATGAATAGGCAACTAATTTATTAGTCATTATTAAGACCATTATAACTAGCACAATGCAACAAATAAGAACCATCATGACAAAATCAGCTCAGAAAAAATCTCCTTCAGTACTTGATCGAAAAGAGCACAAAGGAAGAACCTGACGTAGCAGAAGATTGGTCATTATTCTGCAAGACATATTCACCTCTACGACTTACAACATATTACCTATACGATATAGAACCAATATTCAGACATATATTCACCTCGGACTCGATGAAGAACTGGACGAGGTCCCTGATGAGCGGCGTGTTGGGCCTCCTCTTCTTGCCACGCTTGGTCCTGGTGACCTCGCCAGCCTCGTCCTCAGGGATGAAGAGACGCTCGTTGAGGAACTCGCCGGCGGCCTGCGCCACGGCGCGGTGCGACGAGTACACCAACTCGTACACGTGCTCGCAGTCCTTGTCAGTCAGGATGTCGCGGTGGTACTTCAGGATCGAGATCACCAGCCGTACCGCCTGCGGGGGACGAATATCAGGCGTCGTTCGTCGGTGAGGAGGTGAGATGTAGGTATAGGGTTTTAATAACCATGGCTTGGTTAACACACAAAAAAAATAAAAAAAAATTCCAGATGGAAGGAAAGATTTCCAGTAAATCACCAAGACAGGATCAGTGTACTCGGAACGTGAGTTAATAAAATATGACCTTTATATCAAAGCAAATAAGAAGCTAACATGATGCCCTCAACTGAAGAAAAACTAGAATATTTTTCAGATGTTCACCTGCACAGCAACATCGTAATCCTTATCCAGCGTCATGGCGACGACCCTGTCTTTGAACTTGCTGGTGAAGAGCTCGAGTTTGCCTTTCAGTTCCTCACTGGCGTAGAGCGGCTGCAGGGCCTGCAGGCACTTCAGGCGTACATCTCCGACCTGAGAACACAAACAAAAATTGGAATAACGGCAAAACAAACTTAAAATGTTATCTTTAGATGCTAATAAATCTTAGGGTTATTGCTATAAAAATTTGTTGTTTCTTTGGAGAATAGCAATCGATTTTTAAATTCATTTGAAAGCTTAGGAAAATGTCAGTTGGAATTTCTCTAGCGTTGCCAGCCGATGAGCTCTATGCTCAAAGTATTTCTGGACGAGGCTTTTATAAACGCAGGTGAGGTTTAAAAAAGTGTAACGGATAATTAAGTCTCTCCAACAACACCCGATGAAGAAAGTAGAGTTAAACCAATATTCAATTCTAATAAGTAAAATAAAGGTAAAAGGAAACAAACATCTGAACAAAATTAATTTAGTTTGATCGACGTTGTTTCCAGTATACGAGATCCTTCACATCGCGAACATTTTTGATGAAGTCGTTTAAATTGAGTGCGTCACTAATACATAAAAATTTGAAACTGGGGAATGATGCAATTACTTGCCTTATCATGCAGCGTCCAGCCGATGTATTTCAGGTAGGTGTCGTCCAAGAAGTTTTGATGAAACTTCTTCATCCACAGACCAATTTCGGCCATGCAAATGCTTCGAATTTCAGGTAGAGTGTCCCTGTCATCGAGAGTGATGCCAATTAAGCAAGACATAGTTGTAGTCTTCAATAAAATAACATCGTGCAGAACTTATCTAATTGGGACAAAAGGTCAATCAACATACATAACAAAACAATAGAATGCCCAAGAAATGAATATTTGCAAGCGGAATTTCAAACATTCGTTTACGAATACCGGTACATAGACGGCGTCAATGATCTCAGTGGCAAAAGGCCTGGTAATAAGAGTTAACGACAGTTAACCAAAGGATAAAACAATGAACCAACCCCTGCATTTGAACGCACCTATAACGATGGACGAACACCGACTTGAACATGTAAGTAAGCATGTTCTTGATCTCATCTGTGTTCTCCTCGAGCTCCTGCCGTTTGGTCATGAGGTTCTCGAGGCGATCGTTGGCCCTCTTCTCTCTGGTCTTCTGGCGCTCAGATTCGTACTGGCGCTGCGTGTTGTCGTGGTTTACTGACACAGTTAGCGCCACGTCTACCAGTGCCGTCATCAGCTTCATGGCTGGCGATAGCAAGACAGGTATAAGTTCAGAGAATAAGGTGATAACATTTGTAAGTTTTGATGATGACGTTGCGTTCACTATAGTGCTCTCATCAGCTGCTCACTCAAGAACCGAGATATGCAAATTCAAAACAACATACTTCAATAAATAATTATGATAATGACAGGTTAACATGTACCGATGTATTTCAGGTAGGTGTCGTCCAAGAAGTTTTGATGAAACTTCTTCATCCACAGACCAATTTCAGCCATGCAAATGCTTCGAATTTCAGGTAGAGTGTCCCTGTCATCGAGAGTGATGCCAATTAAGCAAGACATAGTTGTAGTCTTCAATAAAATAACATCGTGCAGAACTTATCTAATTGGGACAAAAGGTCAATCAACATACATAACAAAACAATAGAATGCCCAAGAAATGAATATTTGCAAGCGGAATTTCAAACATTCGTTTACGAATACCGGTACATAGACGGCGTCAATGATCTCAGTGGCAAAAGGCCTGGTAATAAGAGTTAACGACAGTTAACCAAAGGATAAAACAATGAACCAACCCCTGCATTTGAACGCACCTATAACGATGGACGAACACCGACTTGAACATGTAAGTAAGCATGTTCTTGATCTCATCTGTGTTCTCCTCGAGCTCCTGCCGTTTGGTCATGAGGTTCTCGAGGCGATCGTTGGCCCTCTTCTCTCTTGTCTTCTGGCGCTCAGATTCGTACTGGCGCTGCGTGTTGTCGTGGTTTACTGACACAGTTAGCGCCACGTCTACCAGTGCCGTCATCAGCTTCATGGCTGGCGATAGCAAGACAGGTATAAGTTTAGAATACAAGGTGATAACATTTGTAAGTTTTGATGATGACGTTGCGTTCACTATAGTGCTCTCATCAGCTGCTCACTCAAGAACCGAGATATGCAAATTCAAAACAACATACTTCAATAAATAATTATGATAATGACAGGTTAACATGTTGCCATCGCGAAATAGATCTAGTGACGCGTGGTAGTACAACGTGTTGCAATAGCAGATTGAGTATTGATCCAAGTATTTAGATGTGGTTAACTCATTACTGCAGCGTGCCGGAGATGCTCGAAGGGCCTATATAACTTTGTGGCTGCAACTGCAAGAGATTTCACGATTCTTCTCTATCAACATACACAGTAATTAATCAAATTTATTCTACCATAAATACAATTGCACCCAAAGCTAAGCCTCATAATTGCAGTCATTTGATAGGATGCCTTTGCCATTCAAAGGGAAAACTCGAAATTTAGCGTCTCGAAGAAAGCTTAAAATTGAAGACATCACTACACAGGGGCCTCAGGAAGCATGAAATCCTTAGTGTATTCTATACAAAAATTAAATTTTCCTACTTCGGAGCTGGAAAATATATCAGAACAATTTAAAAACTTGAAAAAAATCAGAAGCTACCAACCTGCGAGGGTTGCGGTGTGCCTGAAAGCTCGCACTTGGGAGTCGGACAAACCAGTGAGCAGAGAGATGACGTTGTCCATGAGATATTGGTCGTAGATGATGGAATACTGACATTGTTTCACCAGCACCTGGGAACAATCAAAACAAAACTTCAATAACATAAAATAATGAATATAAAGTTAATGCGCAAGTTTATTAAAGAATAGATTGCGACCGTGCACTATTGACTTAAATGTTCACATCATTCAGAAATCAATTAGAGCCATCAATAAATCAAGCATGACCTCAAGATCACCCCCCCCCCCAGGTAACATATGCCCTAAGTTTGTTTTTATGGAACAACACAAGGCCATGCCAAAGCACAACCCTCGACGGCTACCAGCGCCCCCCACAAACGAGACCGAGAGATGAACTGAGCCACGACTTAGATTAGCCACGCCCCGACTTACATTAGCCACGTCACACTTGAATTAGCCACGTCACACTTGAATTAGCCACGTCACACTTGAATTAGCCATGCCACGACTTAGATTAGCCACGCCACACTTGAATTAGCCACGTCACACTTGGATTGGCAACGTCCAGATTTGGATTAGCAACGCCACTTTTCATCCATGACAACATAGGGCAATACAACCAAGAATCAAGCCTCCATTGATTCAAATAAGTGCATAACCCACTTGCACAAATAAGACCAGCACTCACTTGCACAAATTCACAGAAGTTGCTGCGGAACTTCTTCCACATTTGGCCGGTCTGGATGAGGGGATATTCGCCGCTCTCTTCCTCAAACTCTTCTGTCATGCGTCGAATGATCTCTGCATGCTCCATGGTGGCCTGGGCGGGGGGGGACAAATATAATATAAATATAGGGAACAAATAATTAATATAATGAATAACGATTAAGTTAAGTTAATAAGGATATGATGAGCCATAACATGAACATCTCTCGTTGCAAAACTGTGACGGGGGATTCTTGTCATGTTAAGGAAATGACTCAGACACAAAATTAATTACACATTTTTATAGGAGTAAATTTCAATTGTACTAATCTATACAAAATGCAATGGAAATAAATTGAAGCTAGTAATTAAAACTAAAGAAAAAAGAAATCACATATATAATCCCAATATTTTTCAACAGCTAAGGGAGCGTGAGATGGACGCTCTGAATCCCTGTGAATCGTGGAGGCAGTACCTGCATGTTGGAGGGCAGTACCTGCATGGTGGAGGCAGTACCTGCATGGTGGGGGCAGTACCTGCATGGTGGGGGTGATGCGGCCCTTGCAGCCAGCGCTGTCGATGAAGAACTGCATGAGGCGCAGCAGGGCGGCGTCGCGGCTCTCCTTGTAGTGGTCGATCCAGTCGTCCACGGTTTGCTGAGGCATGAAAACGTTATTCAACTTTAATTAAATAGCAAATTATGCACTAATGCAGACCTCATTTATTGTGAAACTTCTCAACATTTACTAGCAATCAAAGAATGAAGCCTCAGTTAATCAGCATAGGTTAATCATAATCAACTGCAAAACTTATAAGAGGGAGCACATCTTTTACAGATCGCATAAATAAAAAGCTTTAGCGTTTTAAGCTGTTGCGTACGTGTTGGGTGCAATAAGTAGCAGGATAACTAAAATAGCTTATCAGGGCCATACTATCACAATTTGCCAAAGCCCATGCAACAGCTGCTTTCTTGTCCGTAAATGTTGGGTTTAGCTTGAAATGCTTTGAATGATCGGCTGAGAGAGTATGGCCAAATTTGGAGTTTTTTAGAGTATGGACCCAGGTTTAGAAAGTAAGCCCAAGTAGCAGGTTAACCTGCATTTTTCTTGACCTGTGCCAGTTATGAGCGACCGCCAATCAATTAATTGGATGATCGTACAGATACGATGCTAAAATGACTTTAGAACAAATTTCAATTGTCCGTGACGCCAAAGGAGACTCCTATGAAACTAACATAGGAAATATGCATTTAGACGGTCATACACAAACAATTTTTGACAAAATTCTGAATTTCACACAACCAATGTACTCGGCACGTGGATGAAGTGGCAAGATACTGCTTCTCGTAAAAATGAACCACTGCACAAGATATTAAATAAAATAAATTAATATTAGTAAATAATTCAATATTGGACTGACAGCGAGCGCAGCTCGGCCGGACTTGACAACCGCATACAGGCTGCTGTCCTCGTCAGAAGCTCGGAACGCGCCTCCTGCAGCACCTCCTTCAGCAGCTCCACCAGCAGGAGCTTTCTTGCTGGGGCGGCCGCGGCCCCGCTTCTGTTCAGGCTCGGGGGGCGCGTGCGGAGGGCTGCTGCTGCCAACCACAACGTCGCCTATTTTCTTGATGCTCGCAGCTGCAGAACAAACACCATAATATACATTTTCTGATAACTACTACTACGATTGCTATATAAGCAAATTATTTAAGTTAATTGTTGACTGCCATGTTCAAGGTGATTGCACAAATTTTTAAGAAAGTCGAATCTTCAAGTCATTTAGAGCTCATGTTAAGCCTGGGAATTAATGACCACAAGGACATGGTCAAAAAATATAACTCAGTACTCACTGCAGTGAGTGACAGAAAGCGTATTTTCTCGTCGACGAAAACATGAAGTCAAGGACGGACAGACACAGACGGTGACGGACATGGCGAGCACAATAGTGCATTTTTTCATAAATGAGAAAATGCGCTAAAAACTATCAATAAGTATTACAATATTAACTGCAATAGGGAGACGGTCTTCAAGACAATGTATTTGACAAATTATTCATTGAAAAGTGTACTTTCCAAAACTTCACCAATGCGCAAAAGTGAGATTAGTGATGAACATCAACATGACAATCCTTACGTAAATATTGTGTGAAGCAGAACAACTAACCGATTTTCCCGCGACCGCGTCCTTTTTTCTGGCCTCTGATGGAGATCGTGAGGCGCGGGATGGGCTCGTAATTCTGAGGCGGTGTTTCTTTACGTCCGCCAGGCACGTCATCATCATCTTCGTCATCATCATCCTCATCATCGTCGTCATCATCATCTTCATCGTCACCATCAGCCCCGCGGCCCTCGTCTTCGGGGTCGCCGCCCACACTCACGTTGTCGCCCTCTGACCCAGGTATGGTGGCGCCGCTCGTGTTCGCCGGCGCCTCGGAGTCTGTTAATAAGTGTCGAAACTCAACATACGTCAACAGTCAACATATGTCGGCACTAAACATACCCATGTCAACAGTCAACATATGTCAACAACAGTCAACATATGTCAACAGTCAACATATGCCAACAGTCAACATATGCCAACAGTCAACATATGCCAACGTATGTCAACACCAAACATATGTCAACAGTCAACATATGCCAACATGTCAACACTCAACATATGTCAACAGTCAAGATATGTCAACAGTCAACATATGTCAACAATCGTTTCAACAAATATATCTTCTGAGTATTTTTCCTCAAGCTTGTGACAACCACGCAGATCATCAATAATTGCGGGCACTGTTCCACATAGGTAAATAAATCAATTTTAATTTATAAAGCAATAAACCTTAAAAAATAAATGCAAGAATTTACTTGAACCAATTGACCGCTGACAATATCCACTTTTTTGGTTCAAAAAATATGACAACAAATTCCCCAGCAATTCTTCCACTGGCAGATAAGACCCAGGTATGGTGGTGCCGCTCGTGTTCGCCGGCGCCTCGGAGTCTGTTAATAAGTGTCGAAACTCAACATACGTCAACAGTCAACATATGTCAACATTAAACGTACGTATGTCAACCATCAAAATATGTCAATAATCAAAACATTCCAACAGTCAACATGTGCCAACAAATATACATGAGCATTCCTCCTCAAGCTTGTGATAACCATGCAGATCATCAATAATTGCGGACACTGTTCCATATAGGCAAATAAATCAATTTTAATTTACAAGGTAATAAACCTAGAAAAAATAATTTACTTGAATCAATTGACCGCTGACAATAACTACTTTTTAGGTACGAAAAATAAATTGGTCAGAAGATAAATTGGTGCTTAATTTTATAATAACCACCTCGAGACATAGGCTTTGGCCACTGCAGTGGTTTGCAGTTAGTGCCAGATAATACCTAATAATCTGGCGCCATATTCACCCAGAGATAAAGTGTAAATAAAACATGAAAACAAAGACATCTGCAGGCAGTCATGGTCATGGAATACATAATGGAAAAATGCTACCTAGGTACGTCATCCTCATTCTCCTTTTTGTTAAAGTTCTTGGCCTACAGGACTAGACAATCATCCAGTCAAACGACAAGAACAATATGCATTTATATGAAAATTATGCATGGATGTGGAACTATTAACTGGAGTTGCTTCTGTCGCTAGGAGTGTATAAAGAGCACACGCTCTTTCTTGATTCTGCATATTTATAACATTTATTATATCTTCTTATTACATTTATGTACATTCAATGCAAACGAATTTTAATGTCCAAGAGAAGACAATGGCAGCAAAACTTACAATTAAAAGCAAGAGTTTCCTTTTTATTATAATTGAAAGTGTACCCAATTGAGGAGACGATGTAGAAAGACAATGGTAAAAGCTTTAGTGAAAATCAATATCATTAGCATTATAAAACTAAACCAGTGTATCCAAGCTAACCAGTAGCAGAAGCTTGCTGCTCGGGGACAGCATCAGCCATCAGTGGAGGAGCAGCAGCAGGAGCAGCGTCCTCAGACTCAACCATGGAGGGCTGGGAGGACTCGGATGCTTCTAGAGCCTCGTGTGACTGTTGCTGATCAGAATTTGTTGAATTCTGAAATAAAAAGTTGGTTGAAAGCATCCTTATTGACCAAGATTCTGATAAAAAAATAGGTAAAATTATGGTTCAGAGAATAATAATCTAGTGCGATATTTAAAAGACAAATGTGGTATGCTAGTCAAGCTTGAGCAAACAACTTTTTTGTATCAACTTACCTTTTGGACCAAATCCATGGCATACTAAGGAGAAAAAATAGATCAGTCCATATTTGAACACATACCTACGTAAACACAGATTTATTTAGTGTTGACTTAACAAATGCTATTATACCTACTGCGAGGAATAGATGCAATATGATACAATCTCAAGGTGGTGGCATAATGTAAAGAACTCACAGGTAGGTATTTGTAGATTCATCTGAAGGGGCATTAAATGGTAATTTTAATCAGAATGTTTGTTCTCTTTTCACCAACAAAGTTGTGATTTGATCATAACGATTAAGAACTATACCTAGCTGATAAAAACATTGCACAATTTTTTACGTGAATGCTCTTCTGAACTTACTTGAGAAGGGTAGTCATAGGCACTACTGGCAGTCGGAGCAGCATACTCAGCAGATGGCGCCATATGCAAATGTTGGCTGTGCTGCTCTTCAGGAGCAGCAGGCCCAGATAAGGGAACATGGTGGTCAGGCTGAGGCTGATGATGGAGGGCATGAGAAGGTGATAGCTGCCTCATTTGCAGCTGCTGTTGCTGCTGCAGGTAGTCTGGGTACACTGATGGTGCAGCTAACGGAGATGAGAGCTGGTGTTGTTCAGGAGGAAGCTGATGATGCAGAAGCTGCTGTTGGTGTTGAATCTGGTGCTGTAAGTGCTGCTGTTGCAATTGTTGATGTTCATGTTCATAAGTTGGTTGTCCGTAAGCACCAGCTTGATATTCACTGCTGCAAAGAAAGAAAAGTTTGAAAAAATTTCCAACAAATATATAAAGAGCTCTGCACAAATGAATGAAACCATATGCATGCAAGTAATATATTTCAATGAAACAAATGCATCCCATTCACAGTGTGTAGAAATGTGAACAGCATTGCTAACAAATATATCCAGAGTAATGACTAGTATTTACCTAGTTAACTTTTACACAATGTTCTAAAATAAAGAGTTTGTGTTTAATGAACGTAACCATTTTACAAGGATATGAATTCTCTGATGTCAAAGGGATACAAATAAGGGCCATTAAAAAGCTACTCAATTAAGGAAGTTAAAAAAACTATCCTCAATTATAAAAGTACCTTTGCCTCTGTTAGTTACCCAAGCATATATGAGTAGTCTGGAGTAGAACTATGGTAAAAGAAAAAGCTTAAGATTAAGGAGGTATCACAACAGATTATAATCAAATCTTACTGGTGCAATGGAGTATCAGAAGCATAGGGAGTGTATGCAGTAAATGGAGTGTGGGGCTCTTGGATTTCTGATCCAGCTGGAGTCATTGGGGTCATTGGAGGCTCATCATACTCCGGTGGGGGCTCATCCATCCGGATTCTCTTGCCTCCTCGTCTCAACATTGTGGGGAGTTAACTGCATAAAATACAAAGTCAGTAAGGAAAATGTACAACATTCAGCAATCAGCATAGTAATAAAATTCTACCATTGAGCAGGTCAGTAGGACCATGACCAAGATAATACCTGCTGTGCTAGTTGCAAAAAGTCCTACTTGTCTGAAATATTGCGGCTCTAATATCATATAATTTCACTAGGTATGCAATCTCTTGGCTCAAATGCCATATATTTTTTTTTAAGAAATCATGGTTAACAAACGTGTCATTTCAAAAAATTTCAACTTCTGCAATCAGTAGTACCTAATACCAGGCTACCGCCGGCGCCAAAATATTCTGCAGAACAGTTAACAAGTCAACCCAAAACATTTCATTGGACTTAGGAGATGGCATAGCGCATAGTTGCCACTAAGTTGCAGTCACATCAGACTGCATCAATGATAATCACATGTTTTGTTGCCTCTAAAGTAAAGACATGTCTTATTGTTGCAGTTCTTAGGGTAAAATTAGAGATTTAGGGAAACATGTGCACAGCCTCACAGGCATTGGCAAATCAGTTTGTGGCTTTACTGGCTTGTAAATAGCTCATGCCTCATGCAGGATATGAAATCCACAGCTCAAAAAAATGGAATCACTGCTTACAAATCCAGAAAACCATGGCTCAATAAATGCGGTTGTGGTTCAGAGAGTAGGCCTAGATCCACTGTGCAGAGAGTGCATGAATATTGCAAGATCTTTGGCGACGCTTCAGTAGCAAAATTTATGCCTTCAGAAGATCTTGCAAGTGCAAAACATGCATTTTTACCCCTCAATTATAGGCCAAATTTGCCTGTTACCTATTCCTAATTGGGTCTGGTTAACAAATCCTCAATAATATTGGTGAAAATTTAGGCCTAAAATCTCAATTTTGGCAACACAATGCAACACAGTGACAAGTGACAACTGACACTTGCTAAGTTGCCAACAAGCAACAACTTCAACTTTCAAGTCTATTAAAAATTTTGCATTTGCAAATTGCAACACTAGGTAGTACGTAGTTACTCAGTACTAGGTCCTACCGTCCTACAGCATGAGCAAGTCTGAGCAAGAGGAAAAAAATGAAGTAGGCCTATATTGGAGTCAAACTTTGAATATTTCCCAATTGATTGACATGATGGAATAAGCCTAAAATGTATCATATGTGAATTCTGAATCACATGTTTTATTTTGCCATTTAAATTGCTGACTATACCTAAAATAAAATTGATTGAAATTGTCTAATTAGGCTAACTCAGTAACTGGGCCACTGGCTAAAACTAATAGAACAATTCATTTTCTAATAAATACATTTTGCATCTCTGTTATAGGTACTGTTCTAGTTTGACTCAACTGTTTGACTTTGAGCATAGCAATTTGAAGTTAAGTCTTGACTCTTGAGTCATGAGTTGGCAGAGTAGCCCAATATATCCTACCTACCTATTCTGGCTATTCACGGTTCTGTAACTTCTGTTATTCTCAAATTTTTAAAACTAACAAGAGTAACAACCAATAAGTCTATATCCCATTAATTAGCCTATGTGGCATTATGGCATAGGGCCATAGGCTATAGTATAAAGTATTTTGAGTATAGACTACTATAGAAGTATAGAATAATTCAAAAAATAATCCAGACATAAAACATTACCAACTTACGCTTACCAAAAACTGTTGCTCAGATTTAAAGATTTGAATCACATATGCACGCTTTGGAAAAAACGGAACTTTATTCTACCAAAGCATTTATTTTATTCTTAAATACAGAGGCACTTGAAATAAAACACAATATTCCTAAGAATAAGCATATAGCACCTACAATCCGTCACTGGTAAAGTCAAAACTCAAACGATCGCTTCTGTAAAGTGTAAACAAGCTTTCGGCGGGACCAAAAATATAGCATCTTAACATGGAAACATATCGATGTGACCAAGGTTGAGTTGATAGAAAAATTGTCAGACGAATTTTCAGGGCAAACATTTCACGCATGACTTTTTCAAATGGAAACCGATCTTTAACAAATTTAAAACGAATCAATTTAGTCACACTACGCTTCAGCCAGTATAATCTTCACGGAGGCTATACCAATTATTTACCAAAGCATGCTCTTACCTCCCCACTTTGCTTAATTAAGCCATGGTTGAAATTATACATTTGTATTATTTCAACCACGGCTAAAGCCAATGAGGTTAGGTACAGGTCCAGATATGTTCGTTTGGGAGGAGAATCGGGGTAAGTTTGGAGGTAGGCGCATGCCGGGGTGCAGCCTCCTTGAATACTATACTGGCTGGAGCATTGGCTACACTCGATCGACAATTCTACGGACTCGCCAGCGGACTCGCCTGCGGACTCGCGCAACTGGGCCACTCATAATTCCTTAAATACTTAACGGATCTGTATGAATTTTGGAATATGAGTATTAATTATCGATACGCTGGCGCAGGAATTATTACAGATTTTTACATGAATTATTTTTAATTAAAACCAATAAACGTATTTTTTCAGCAACTGGGCTACTCATAATTCCTTCAATACTTAACGGATCTGCATGAAGTTTGGAATGTGAGTATTAATTATCGATACGCTGCCGTAGGAATTATTACAGATTTTTGCATGAATTATTTCCTAACCTAACCTAACTTAACCTAACCTAATAATAAGTCATGTAAAAATCTGTAATAATTCCTGCGGCAGCGTATCGATAATTAATACTCACAGAGCCATAATTTATTTTCTACTTTTTAGTCCACAAGAAAAACGTGTTTTTTTTTTAAAGTTTTTTTAAGTATTTTATTTAAAATTGATTTGAAAGCTTTGGAAAATGTCAGTTGGAATTTCTCTAGCGTTGCCAGCCTATGAGCTCAATGCTCAAAATATTTCTGGACGAGGCTTTTATCAACGCAGGTGAGGTTTAAAAAAAGTTTAACAAATAATTAAGTCTCTCCAACAATACCTAAAGAAGAAAGTAGAGTAAAAACAATATTCAATCCTAATAAGTAAAAGAATGGTATTTTGCAAAGAATTTGCAGCACAGACGGGATGAAAGCTAACAAACATATTTTAACAAAATTATTTCAGTTGGATTGACGTTTTCTTCTAGTATACGAGATGCTTCCGAAATACAAGATCCGAAAATTCGCGAAAATTTTCGATGGAAGTCGTTTAGATCGAGTGCGGCACTAATAAAAATATCAAATCTGCAAAATGATGCAATTACTTACCTTATCATGCAGAGTCCATCCGATGTATTTCAGGTAGGTGTCGTCCAAGAAATTTTGATGAAACTTCTTCATCCACAGACCAATTTCAGCCATGCAAATGCTTCGAATTTCAGGTAGAGTGTCCCTGTCATCGAGAGTGATGCCAATTAAGCAAGACATAGTTGTAGTCTTCAATAAAATAACATCGTGCAGAACTTATCTAATTGGGACAAAAGGTCAATCAACATACATAACAAAACAATAGAATGCCCAAGAAATGAATATTTGCAAGCGGAATTTCAAACATTCGTTTACGAATACCGGTACATAGACGGCGTCAATGATCTCAGTGGCAAAAGGCCTGGTAATAAGAGTTAACGACAGTTAACCAAAGGATAAAACAATGAACCAACCCCTGCATTTGAACGCACCTATAACGATGGACGAACACCGACTTGAACATGTAAGTAAGCATGTTCTTGATCTCATCTGTGTTCTCCTCGAGCTCCTGCCGTTTGGTCATGAGGTTCTCGAGGCGATCGTTGGCCCTCTTCTCTCTTGTCTTCTGGCGCTCAGATTCGTACTGGCGCTGCGTGTTGTCGTGGTTTACTGACACAGTTAGCGCCACGTCTACCAGTGCCGTCATCAGCTTCATGGCTGGCGATAGCAAGACAGGTATAAGTTTAGAATACAAGGTGATAACATTTGTAAGTTTTGATGATGACGTTGCGTTCACTATAGTGCTCTCATCAGCTGCTCACTCAAGAACCGAGATATGCAAATTCAAAACAACATACTTCAATAAATAATTATGATAATGACAGGTTAACATGTAACTGTCGCGAAATAGAAATCTAGTGACGCACGGTAGTACGTGTTGCAATAGCTGATTGAGTACTGATACAAGTATTTAGATGTGGTTAACTCTCTACTGCAAGGTGGCGGCAATGCTCGAAGAGCCTACAAATTTCGTGGCTGCAACTGCAAGAGATGTATCGATAACTCGAGAGCCCGTCACATCAAATTTTGCATTTTATTTTAGCTTGGATCTATTGTGATCGTAGTTGAATCTTCTCTATCAACGTAATTAATCGAATGTAGTTTACCATAAATACATATGAACCAAAAGCTAAGCCTCAGAACTGCAGTTATTTAATAAGATGCCAAAAAATATCCCTCCATTGCCATTGTAGGAGAAATACTGCGCAAAATATAGCGCCACGAAGAAAGCTTAAAATTGAAGGCATCATCACTACGCAGGGGCCTCAGAAAGCATGAAATCCTTTATGCGTACAATAAAAAAAAATATAACTTAGTACTCACTGCAGTGAGTGAAAGAGAGCGCATTTTCTCATTGACGAAAAAACTTGAGGTCAGGGACGGACAGACAGACGGACATGGCGAGCACAATAGTGCATTTTTTCATAAATGAGAAAATGCGCTAAAAAGACTTTTTATACTTCGGAGCTGAAAAATATTTCAGAACAGTTAAAAAACTTGAAAAAAAAAAACAGAAGCAACCAACCTGCGAGGGTAGCGGTGTGCCTGAAAGCTCGCACTTGGGAGTCGGACAAACCAGTGAGCAGAGAGATGACGTTGTCCATGAGATATTGGTCGTAGATGATGGAATACTGACATTGTTTCACCAGCACCTGGGAACAATCAAAACAAAACTTCAATAACATAAAATAATGAATATAAAGTTAATGCGCAAGTTTATTAAAGAATAGATTGCGACCGTGCACTATTGACTTAAATGTTCACATCATTCAGAAATCAATTAGAGCCATCAATAAATCAAGCATGACCTCAAGATCACCCCCCCCCCCAGGTAACATATGCCCTAAGTTTGTTTTTATGGAACAACACAAGGCCATGCCAAAGCACAACCCTCGACGGCTACCAGCGCCCCCCACAAACGAGACCGAGAGATGAACTGAGCCACGACTTAGATTAGCCACGCCACACTTGTATTAGCCACGCCACACTTTAATTAGCCACGCCACACTTGACTTAGAGACGTCACACTTGGATTAGAAACGTCCGGACTTGGACGCAACTTTTCATTCATGACAACATAGGGCAATACAACCAAGAATTGATTCAAATAAGTGCATCACCCACTTGTACATATAATTTCACCACCCACTTGCACAAATAAGACCAGCACTCACTTGCACAAATTCACAGAAGTTGCTGCGGAACTTCTTCCACATTTGGCCGGTCTGGATGAGGGGATATTCGCCGCTCTCTTCCTCAAACNTCAGTAACTGGCTAAAACTAATAGAACAATTCATTTTCTAATAAATACATTTTGCATCTCTGTTATAGGTACTGTTCTAGTTTGACTCAACTGTTTGACTTTGAGCATAGCAATTTGAAGTTAAGTCTTGACTCTTGAGTCATGAGTTGGCAGAGTAGCCCAATATATCCTACCTACCTATTCTGGCTATTCACGGTTCTGTAACTTCTGTTATTCTCAAATTTTTAAAACTAACAAGAGTAACAACCAATAAGTCTATATCCCATTAATTAGCCTATGTGGCATTATGGCATAGGGCCATAGGCTATAGTATAAAGTATTTTGAGTATAGACTACTATAGAAGTATAGAATAATTCAAAAAATAATCCAGACATAAAACATTACCAACTTACGCTTACCAAAAACTGTTGCTCAGATTTAAAGATTTGAATCACATATGCACGCTTTGGAAAAACGGATTTTTATTCTACCAAAGCATTTATATTATTCTTAAATACAGAGGTACTTGAAATAAAACACAATATTCCTAAGAATAAGCATATAGTACCTACAATCCGTCACAGATAAAGTCAAAACTCAAACGATCGCTTCTGTAAAGTGTAAACAAGCTTTCGGCGGGACCAAAAATATAGCATCTTAACATGGAAACATATCGATGTGACCAAGGTTGAGTTAATAGAAAAATTTTCAGACGAATTTTCAGGGCAAATATTTCACGCATAACTTTTTCAAATGGAAACCGATCTTTAACAAATTTAAAACGAATCAATTTAGTCACACTACGCTTCAGCCAGTATAATCTTCACGGAGGCTATACCAATTATTTACCAAAGCATGCTCTTACCTCCCCACTTTGCTTAATTAAGCCATGGTTGAAATTATACATTTGTATTAATTCAACCACGGCTAAAGCCAATGAGGTTAGGTACAGGTCCAGATATGTTCGTTTGGGAGGAGAATCGGGGTAAGTTTGGAGGTAGGCGCATGCCGGGGTGCAGCCTCCTTGAATACTATACTGGCTGGAGCATTGGCTACACTCGATCGACAATTCTACGGACTCGCCAGCGGACTCGCCTGCGGACTCGCGCAACTGGGCCACTCATAATTCCTTAAATACTTAACGGATCTGTATGAATTTTGGAATATGAGTATTAATTATCGATACGCTGGCGCAGGAATTATTACAGATTTTTACATGAATTATTTTTAATTAAAACCAATAAACGTATTTTTTCAGCAACTGGGCTACTCATAATTCCTTCAATACTTAACGGATCTGCATGAAGTTTGGAATGTGAGTATTAATTATCGATACGCTGCCGTAGGAATTATTACAGATTTTTGCATGAATTATTTCCTAACCTAACCTAACTTAACCTAACCTAATAATAAGTCA